AGATATTTGTGAAGATTAGAATCTACTCTGTGTCACCGAGGCTGACACCATCAGTTGGGATGGAAAATACTTATGCACTGGTTGTTCTCAATTTACTTGTTATTTCTTGCAGTGAAGCTTTGACTTTTTTTTTTTTTTTGAGTGAACTTTGCATAGCGCTATCTAGATTTTATTTGTAAATGTTTTGGATACCACTAACAACAAACTGTTGTTTAGCATATATTATCAGTGTATTCCCGCCTACCTTGCAAAGAACATATATTTTATATATTAGGGAAAGGGATGACAGACATGATTAGATCATCTTTCAGAGCACAGCAGACCTTGTCTTAGTCTTCTGGCTCCACTCTTGTGTATCCTTTAACAGGCACAGTTTCTTTTCACTGATGTGATAAGAGAGTTTGAAATAATTTTATTAAACGCCAACATTTTCTCAATTACCTTTTATTTGCGATTCAGCTTGTGTTCTTTCCAGGTCATACAAATACTGCCAAGACATAATCAGCTCTTTAAAAAAAATGTTTAAAGAAAGGCAAAATGGGTATCAGTTGCAACTGGCTTCCTGTATACAAGCAGTGCACAAACCCAGTGGGTCTGCTCTCAGACAGCTGCATCCTATTTCTTCACTTAGGGAATGAATGCCACCCTTGGGAAACATCCTGACAATAATAATATTAAATCCAAATAATAGAGGAAATTTCATTATCTTCTTTGGAAATCATCTCTCAAAAAATCCAAAATTTTCATGTATATATTTTTTATTTTTAATTTAGTGACTGACATAATATTTACTATTTTATTGGTTTTATTGGACATTATGGGGCCAAACGTTACTGTATTCTGTATTTAAACATCCAGTTGATTCCACTGAAACTCTCAGTACTGCTGATCTAAGCATTAGTTGCAAACTTGCACCTTCAGATTTGTGTTCATCTGCTTCTGTCAGATGTTCCCTGGGTTAGGAATAAGCTGCTGCACTTTCTCACAATAAAACAGTGGCCGCCTTTTTCCAGTTTTCAACATGGGTTGCAATGATCAGAATCAATCTAGCCTCAGAGCAATGTCATCTTCAACATGGTTGAACATGGTCACGCCAGTGTTCATAACATTGGGAAAGGATGGACTGTAAATGACTATATGAAATTGTGTTCTCACCTAAATATAAGCACTGGACAAATAGCCAGAAGTTTGTAATGCTTTTGAAAGCCCATAATCTATTTGGGAGTAATTGCATGAATGGGAAAATATTAGTATGGGGGCAACATGAATTGCTGCAAATAGCAGATATTTAAAGCTGTGTTTTAGATATCTAGATTCCTTTAAACTGTCTTGTATATTAGCACAGTGATTCTAAACAGTAAGTGCACTTGTAGAAATCAAAGTCTGTTTGCAAATGATTGTCAAGTAAGAAGCAGTGAATGGACTGGGATCATGGTTTGTTGCAAATTAATGGGAAATCAACTGAAAAGCAGCAGGTAAGATGGTAGCCCAGGAGCCAAAGGTACAGTGAGGTTGCCAGAATGCCACTCAGTGTGAACTAGAATGACCTGTATTTGGCTACGGTCACAAAGGAATCATGGCAGTGCTGATGTTGAGACAAAAGCAGTGTGGACTTTATTCTGTACCAGTGAAACCTAGTGAATATTGGCTTGAGGGACAGAAAATTCAAGGGAAGGCTATTCAGTGAAAAAGGATCAAAATGTCTCTGGAAATTACTTGTACTATAAGAATTGGTGCATGGAAAGGAGCCTAGAAAGTGTTGTTTGTTTTTTTTTTTTTTTTTTAAGGTGATATCACCTTAAGGATAGATCCTGTAATATTATAATCTGTCTCTAAAACTTGTTTTATTTTTTCTATCTTAGCATTAAGTACAATAAACTGTGCTGAGTGGGATTTGCTGCACCGTGACCCGATTGGTTTCTGTTTCTCAGGCTGCCAGTTCTGAATCAGCCCTGGCCATCTCCACTGAGCTCTTGGATGCTGCTTTTGAGCTCTGTCCTACTCCAACATCAGGTTGCTGTGAGAAATGTACTTCCTTCCAGCCACAGGCACTGAACACTTCTCCTGGCTCCTAAAATTGCTCGAACCAAGAACCTATTTCCCTGCCCCAAGGCACGATGATCTGGCCTTTTATTTCATAAGTTTTATTCCAGTGGCTCAGTGCGTTCCCATCTGCATGCTATTGAACTCGGCTGCACCATGTGCGTGGCAATACACATCTCAGGCTGTGCTAACAGGATGTTAATTCCTGCTGTGCTCACTTCTTTGCCTTCAGGGCAGCTTTCACACTGTCAGATATGCTGCTACAAAGTAAATTACTCCTGGGATGGAGTAAACCAATCCAGGTATTAAAGTTGAACCAAGTCTAATTACTTGGGTTGCAACAATTTTGTCCCAAGGTGAGGATGAGTATATAGTGTGAAATTCACTGTTTTTCTCTCATACTTCCATGCTGTCCTAGATTTCATGCTGTCATCTAGCTATTCCTAGATTTGTCTGTTCTGATTGTCCTTACGTGTTTGAATTTCATCTGCAGCATGAAATTGTGTGTAACAACACAGCAACAAACCCAGCTGTTTGTACAAATATTAACGTTCAATTACTTACTCCCTTCTCAATTCATTAAAAAAAAAAATTAAAAAATCAATTGCTATCGACAGTTATCTAATGAAAGAGGATACCACAGGGCACATCATTCCGCTTTAGTCCCATGCATTAAAGATCACAACCTAAAGCTGTCTTTCTGATTAAAATATGTTTCCCTCTTTCATGCTACCATTTGCTCCTGACTCAGTGTATCGCTCAGTATTTGCCACAGAGTGTGGTTTAGGATGGGTGAGCCGGAAAAGATAAACCAAGAACAGGCCTGAACTCTTACCTGAAACTCATAAGGCATATTGTTTGAAGTCAGGTAACTGGGTGGGGAACGATAGGAGAAAAAAATAGTTTAAATTTTGATTCAGTAGCTCTTGGCAGAAAAGCTGTTATTAGCAAACACTGCAAAAACAAACCCTGCATATTGCTTCCCGTAGTTTACTCACAAGCTTCCTGTCTTGTTTCAACTTGTGGATGTGGACAGAGGAATAATATGTTTTTTTCACATCTATGTGAAAGGACTACTGAAGTAACAGACAGCAAGTGGCTTATTGTATGGAGAACCATCTTTTTCTCAGTCTCCATCAGATTTTATTGGAAAATCTGTGTTATATCTCCAGATTTTGTCCTTGAGTGCAAGTTTTAACTGAATTTCATAGAACTGTGTAATGGGGGGAGAGCTAATGTAGGCCCACACCAGGATCATTTGGACAATATTCAGAGAACTGCATACAAAAAGTGAAGATTTATCGGGGTGTACAGTAACCCCATTGCCTTTGGGATTGAGGAAGATGACCAGTACAAGTTTTACCTTTAAGAATCAGCAGAGAGGATCCGATGCCTTTACTGGGGAGTTGTCAATGGTTCTGAGTCTGTCTGATAGGCTCTCCTCTCTGCTCTTAGGGCATGACTGCTCTCAAACACAGCATGTCAAAAAATTAAAGCAGAAATTGAAACTAGTAGTGCTGTGCCTGTGAAACAGCAGAGGAAAAAATCCTAAAAGTGATGTGAGTCCATGGAGCCAGAGAAAGGGCAGCTGGGAGAAGGTGCACTCAGAAAAGGAAAATGATCAGAAGGGCCTGGGCAAGTAATTTTAATTCTTGTGAGCATCCTTGTTCCTGAGTAGTTTCTTACTGGAAAGCCCCTAGTCTCTTGAAATCGCTATGTAAAGTTGTCTTCAGAAGTATTTGGATAAATCTTGCTTCTGAAATCATGAAGCAGCAGAGGAACCCAGGGGGGTTGGAGTTAGATGATCTTTAAAGTCCCTTCCAACCTGAGTCATTATATGAATTTCATACTTTATCCTAGAAGATAGACCTGGAAGTTAAGGATGAAACCCAATCTTTCCCTTTCCACCACCTCCAACCTTCAAAAGAAGCAAACAAAAACCAAACCAAAACAACAGCATTACAGCAGCAGTGAGCTGGGTGTGATGGCAGGTAAGAGGCAGGTCAGTGCTAATGAGAATCCTTTAACTGTGATCTTAACTCTGCCACGAGCCTGAGTGAAGTTCAGGGGTAATCAGAGACAGCAAGGCCCCTGCAGCGGTCCCAGGTGAGCACCATGTATGCTCCTGATAGCTCCGGGATGGGACACGGAGAGAATGCAGTGACCAGAAAAGCATGAGCCTCGAACAAGTGGTTGCATTATCTTTACACACACACAACCACTTAATGTCTTTTTATCAGATCTGAGAAGAAAGGGAAGCCCTCCCATGTTCTTCCCTGGGCTTTTATCTCTATCTCCCTTTCTCTCTCTCTTTTTTTCTTTTTATTTTATTTTATTTTTTTTTTAACAAAGAATCTTTCTAGGACTCTCCTTGTGAGACCTTTCTCTTGATTTCTGCCCTTTTCTCCCTCCAGCTGTTGAGAGAGCAGAGGCAGTACACTGAGATGCAAACATCACAAGCATAAAAATGCTGGTGTGTGCCAGATTGTCAGCTTGTGTAAATCTGAATTTTTCAGTTGATTCCAGTGAAGTGGGGTTGATTTGCACTAACTGCTCGTTAGTCCCAGCATGTTCTGTAGGAGTTTCTGGAACTGAAAGCCTGCTTGTGATTCCCCTGGTTTTATTTAAGTTTGCTACTCTTTCGCAACGTTGAAATAATGGGGATGAGGGGTTTAAAACTCCTGATAATGTACTTTGCTGATGCTGTAAGGAAAATATTCTGCTTTCTGAGTCATTTGCCCTGAGCTGACTTTTTTTTTTTTTAATGGTTCAGGGGTTTCCTTCTTTAGCCATAAATTGCATGCAAATTCTTTTTTTGTGTGTGTGTCTGTGTATGACAGTGTGTGTATGTGAGTGCGTGTGTGTTTCTTCAGAACCTAAGCCAAAGAGAGAGGCTGTTCCTTTAAAGCAAAACTGAAAAAAATGCCTTCAGGCATCCTATTACAACAGAATGAGCCAAGGATCAGGATTTGCAGCTCAGCTATATAAACCCAGCAGAATCTGGCTGATCTGACCAGTTTGCCTTACTGTCAAACGTTTCTTTCACACACACACACACACACACACACACACTCACACAGAATTAGGCATCACAACTTCTCTGAGTTTTGACAGGACGGCAACAAAGTCAGAAGCTGATAGCTGACTTTAACATCTTTATTTCATGGAGGCTGCTCGCAGCAGGATCTAATCTCTGTCAGAGTCTGTAAGGTAAGTCTGCTTCCTTCCTGAATTAAAAAACCCAGGAGCTCTTCTCCCACCCAAGTTTGCAATAACACAGCCTTCTGTTGTGACCCTCACGGCTAAGGCGTTATTCAGTCTGAGTAGTCAGGGAGCTTAGGAGGGAAGATTTTTGAACTGGAGCATGCCTGCCTTTGGTTTGTCTGTGTGATCCGATGCAATGATAATGTAAGAAACTTCTCAATGATGTTAATCTGATCCAATGAATGAATGAAGGGTGGATAAGTTAAAGCTGGACATCTACAGGAATATGGGCAGAAACCTGACTGACAGGCTGGGTAGAAAATCAGATTTGGGATTCCCTCTTGACTAGCCAGGTAATATAAATGTGTCCAGATCCTCACACCGTGTACCAGGTGCAATCCACTTGCAGTTCTTAAACCTCCCAGGTAACTCCTCTTCGTTTGCTATTGTGTGTGACTTGGGAAAGAATCGGGCCCTTTTCCTTTGCCGTCTGCACCCTGCTTTGCTCTGAACCTTTGTCACCTTCCTCCCTGCCCCCTCTGGCTCTAGTTTCTTTTAGAAGTCCTGTAACATCTGAGCCTGCTGTGGGGAGCAAAAGACAAAGGAAGATTCAACTGGTATCTTATTGCCAAGTAAATGGGTGGGTTCTGGACAGCGGGAGAGTGAAATCCTCCAGCATCATGGAAAAACCCGGCACTTGCTTTAACTGCTTGCTGCCGGCTGCACTGAGGTTTCTGCGTCACTGCCTCTGCACTCCCCAGTTAGCCTCAAATTGACTTAAAACAGAGAACTGACTGGGAGAAAGCCATTGCACCTAGCTTCATTTAAGACTTAAGCCTTCTTATTCAAAACTCTGTGTTACATCACCTTTGCAGTGTTTTCCCTACCTAATTCACTCTGGCTACTGGGAGGTTGAGTGTTTGGTAATTGCTCTAAACTTCTGAAAAGTCTGTGTTGTGTCATGCTGGAGGAGATACGATCAGATTGACAGGACCGGGGCATGTCCCCTTGCATAGTGGAGACATGGAATTAAAAAGCATAGCAAGGTATTTATCAGGTTTTCCTTATGAAAAAGAATAGAAATCAATGAGGTGTTTTTTCACCATTAAAAAAAAAAAAAGTAAAAATTCATTTTACACACTTTATCATTAATGTTATACTTTTTTTTTTTCTTTCCTTTTTATTATGGTGAGGTTCTGTGTTTGCCTTTTTAGATCTGTGAAACCTTACGGTTGCTCTAAGTCAGTGAATGAGCTGGACAGCGGGGGGTAGCAACTGTGCTTTGAATTCCAGGAGGACTTGCAGAAAAGGGTTGTGGTGTCTTTTTTTTTTTTTCTTTTTCTTTTCTTACTGCTAATAGAAACTCAGGAGCAAATGAAAGCATTTAGCCAAAGTAAGAGACACAATCTGTCTGCAGTTGACCTTCCCTGGCAGTGAATTTTGAAAGCACTTGAAGAGTTATCAGGGAGTTCAGGGCGAGCCTCTTTGCAGCTGCTACCTCTGCACCATCACCCAGGGAAGGATGTGCATCTGAATTGAGCAGGGGGATTAGCAGCTGAGAAGAGGCAGAGGGAAGAGGGATGCCGTACAGGACACTGCTTACCCCGAGTGTCACTGACTCTATCACCATCGCTATCCTCAGCAAATTGCTATTTGTTTGCCACGGTCTTTTGCTCATTAATTTTATCTTCTGGTTCCTTCCAGCCCAGAGAAAATTCTTTGCAAGTTCCAGTCCTTAATCCTTTAACTACCGTTACATTATCAGTGTTTTCAAAGCCACAGGAGAGCCAAAGGATCTGCTGAAAAGCGTACAGACTGCAGATTAGTGTGTCGTGTCTCATTTGGAGGGAATCTGATATTCCGTAGCAGAAGTCTCATCCAGGTATACTGTGGAAATAGACATATGATAAAAGAACAAGCCAAATCCAATCTTCCCATTGAATTATAAGTGCTTAATTATGCTAGAGCTTAGCTGAAATATTCCTATACTCAGACTAAAAAGTGCTCTGCAAAGCTACAGGTAATTTGTTAGCTGGAGGTCTTTGTTAATGCAAATCTATTCCTTCTTTGATCCCACCTCTTCTCTAAGGGTGGACCATGTCTCCCCTGTACTCACTTAAACTTAACTATCCTGTTGCTAGAATAGCATTTCTATAGGTGTTCAAACTTCAGCCAGGAGTAGCTTATTTTTAACATTACTGCTTTTTATAAAGTGTCTAAAAAAAGCTGAAGACTATTTGCATGTGATGATGTTCTGACTTGCTGTAAAAAGACTGTCAAAGTTTTTACTTGAGTATTGTTTCACTTTTGATAAAATAATGAGATTAGGTGGGAAGGCCTGTGCTTCTCAGGACTTTTTCATCCTTTCCTTCCCAAAAGCAAAGCAGAACTAAGGAGCAAGTGCATGTGTGAAACAGTGATGTTGCTTTGGAGCCAGAGCTTTAACCCTGTCATCCCTCTGGCAAAACCATTCAAAATAATAGACCTGTTTGTGCTGCTGTCTGCCTTTTTCCTATGACAGTTCATCTGTTCCTATAGCTTTGTAGGGTGTGCTCCAAGAGGTTTGAGTGGTGCTAAGCAGTAATGAAGTATACTGGCTTGTATAAAATAGTAGTTGGGTGTAAATGGATGTCCCACACTGGCAAATCTGTAAGGGAGAAAGTTTTCATTCAGTGGCTGTTTCCGTTACTGAACCCTGCTATCTGTCTAAGTTGGACATTACATTTGGAAGGAAGTTTAAATGCAGAGTGGTTTTTGCATCATTATCAGCTATACATTTACCTGTCCTACATATATGGCACACAGTGAAACATGAGAGATTCAGAGTAGCAAAAGTTACTCTAATTTGAAGTCTGTGACTTGATATGTTCGACTTTGGAAACATAGCATCACAGTACTGCTGAGCTGAAGGGAAAGGGACATTTTAAAGGTCTGGTGTCTCATGAAGTTCCAGGCTTAGAAATGTATGATTTGTATCACTAGAAAGTTAGAAATCCCAGCTTCTCAATAATAAAAAGGTGTTTGTGTTGACCTGTGGCAGGTTGAGATACTGGGCTTTCAAATTGTGCCCTGATTTACCAACATGTACTTTCTCTGACTTAATTTCTGGTGTGAACTTAGTGCACCCTTCTTAAGGACTGATCATTGCCATCAAAACCAGTGGCTACAAACTGTAAATGTGTGGAAATACTGTTAAGTGTAGTAGCTACCCCTAGTAGTTTTAAGGAAGTGGCTGATTTATTATTTCAGAATAATCAGTGTTAGCAAATAAATTAGGAAACTAAGGAAAATAACTGTCACAGCTTATAAAATTAATGGGCAAATATTTTATCATCATCCAAGCTTGGAAGTTTGCAAAGCTGGCACAAGGAAGTGTAGGATGTGTAACTTTTACATCTGGACAGAAAATATCAAAACTCGAACTCAGGAGATAGAAGTGATCTGCACACACTCCTTATTTTTGAGTTTATAAGATGTGATTTAATTGACTAAACTGGTTGGTATCAAAGTGGATTTGCTGTCTGTGGCTTGCTGGTTTTGTGTGGGAGTTTATTAGATGCTGATGATGTTATTACTATTGCTACAGCATTTTAGCATCTCATTGTATTACAAAGAGTGAACAGACACGGTAAGTGATGCTGTTTGCCATAAAGAACTTACAATTGCTATCATTAGCATTCCAGAAAATTGTTTGTGTTGTGAAGAGAAAAGAAGAAGGAATTGGAGTACTGGAAGGCAGATCAAATGAACAGCCCTGACGGACAATGCTGAGCTGTCTCAGTTTCCACTGAGCTCTGGGTTTTATACAAGTGTGAAACTCCCCCTAGCTCAGTGCTCACTGTCCATTCGTGCGTTCGATCCTCTGTCCAATCTGAACTGAAGTTAAATGCCTTCCACATGTGGGAAAAGTTAAAAACTGGGCATTTTTCCAGCTAGTGAAATCTTTCAATGTATGATGTAACTGCACTGTGTGGAGTGGGCAGGCTGAGGAGGGGGAGGCAGAAAGGGATTCTGCCTGACAAGAGATGTCTCTCAGTCCTGCAGAAAGTAGTTGGGCATTAAAAGAAGGAATATAATAGGCATCCTTTTGCTGAAAGTACAAAGTTTCAATTACTTAGTATCTCTTTTAACATTCACTATTAGGAGAAAGCTCTTTACAGTTTGCTGGGATGATATACGTGCAATTATAACTAGACATGGCCTTAATGTAATATTTTACTGGATTTCTGTATGCATCATTTCTCTCTCTTCTATATACTGCATATCCTGCTACTGACATAACAAAATAACCTCTACAGCTTCAGTTAGTCTATGTGTATGTAGTTAGAGTGTCTTTAAAGAATACCAGTTAATACACAAGGCCTGACATATCCCATGAAGCACTCATCAAAAGCTAATGTGAGATTTTGCTGCTCAGGCTATGGAGTCAACAAGAATAACCTTCCATGTATGTTTTTGTTTCACTTATGCATGAGTCAGTCTCCAAAGATAAATTCATCCTGTTGGAAGCAATTTCTCCAAATTCACATCCTTAATTGTCTTGCCACTGTAGTTTCAATTAAACTAAGGTGGGACGTTGCCAAGTTTTCAGAACTTCCAACCAGCGAGTCCCTGTGTACGAATAGCCTGTGGCATTTTGTATTCTTTGGGGAGCGGAGAACAACGTTGCCAAGTTTGCATTCAGTCATCCATCACATATTAGCCTACTGGAGGTCCATTCTTCCCTAGCAATAGGGGAGCTCTGCTTCCTACTTAGAAAGATTACTCACACAGAAAGCTCTTTCCCTGTAACCAGAACTGCACAGGGAAGAGAAAGGAAGCTTTCTTCAATTCATATAAGTGCTCAATTTCCAGACCCTTGACAAAAATGATATTGTTTCATGCTTAGAAAACATATTCCTTTTAGTAATTGAGTAGAAAGAACAGGGTGGTGGAACAGAAATCTTTTTTAAACAAATTTCAAAACCAGTTGGTTGAATCATAGGCATGACAAAGGTGTATTGTAG